TGGGATATGGTGGGCCACGAAGGACACACCCGACCCATCCTTCAAATTCGGGGAAATGAAGGACGCATTCTTCTACAGAGCCACCATTGAGAGTGTACTAACCTATTGCATATGCATCTGGTACACTAGCTGCACAGTGGCTCAGAGGAAAGCACTCCAAGGGGTCATTAACACCGCCCAAAAGATCACTGGCTGCCCCCTCCCCACACTGGAAGATCTACACAACAGCCGCTGTCTTAAAAATGCCCAAAACATCATAAAAGATTCCTCACATCCTGGCCACTCCCTGTTTAAACTGTTGGCCTCAGGCAGACGGTACAGAGCAATCAGTGTAAGGACTCAAACACAGCTTTTATCCAACTGCAGTAACACGTCTGAATGCAAAAAAAATGCCAATCACGCCACTCTTGTATTAATCTATGCGCTGACTGAAGCATGTATGTGAATGTTTGTTGATGCCTCTTATTAGCACTTTAAGTATTCTATTTATTTTATTTATTGAGTTTTATTGTTTTATTTATATTTTGATATCGTTAGCGATGATGCAATGATCGGGGACCATTTTTAATTTCGTTGTACCTGTGACAATGACAATAAAGATTCTGATTCTAAGTAAAAGCATCAGAAACACAGTGAATGCTGAAGGTCGTGATTGGGGTTCACACTGAACTGCTAAACTGGAAACATTTTATGTTGTTCAGATGAATAATTGAACTCATTGTTCAGTGAGTTTTATTTCATTTTATGAGTTTTAAAATTGTTTACACAGCATCAGCATTTGAAGAATTAACTTAAATAAGTCAACGTAAGATTTGCATCATCACAAGCAATGAAACCATGAAAAACACTCAAAACTTTCACGTTTCATTATTCAGCTTCAACTGCAATTGAATTATACTTTACACACAAACCAAAAAGGCCTTCTAAACACAATCAGCTCAACAATGCTGGACTCAGGACCGTCAGATTACAGTGTCTCTACCAAACGAGGAGACCAGGAACACATCCAGTGAACTTCTACCACGGTCACTGTCACAGAGGAGACGGGTAACGAGAAACTTCACCATCCTAGATGATGTCTGTGACAGACTTACCTGAACAGGTGATATCCAGGGTGGAGGAAGAGCGATCTGCTGATGCGCACTCTTTCAGAGCATATCCAGCCTGAACACAGTGTGACTCCATCCACCACACCGATCTCCGTGAAGAACTCTGTGTATTTCCTACAGAAACAGCAGAACCACAGTTCATCTGTCCACAGACAGCAGCTGCATCCTTCAGGTTCCAGATATCCATCGCCACTGGTCTCCACTCTCCTCGTCTCACCTCCAGTGTACCTGCACAGCGACTGGCTCCTCCCACCAACCTGACAGGCTCTGACAGAAAGCAGAGAGTCATCA